CGAAATTAGTGAATCGCGCCCACTGGGAGGAGCTTACTGAATGTTCATTTCTTGCGTCTTTGTTTGGTAGATCATCAAACAGGGGCCCAGTACTCCCCATGAAATCAGCACAATTGCTGGAATACAATGCCCCACCGAGGTGGAACATTGTCGCGGAACACTTTGCTGGAACGGGGTACACCCGAGCCACCCATCTAGCGCAACGAGGGGGTAGCTCGGCAAACCAGCCATGCCAATAAGGTTGTTCTCCGACGCGGTAATTTGTTCGCTGTGTGAATGCGGGTTCCCCGTTTGAGGCCAAAATTACATAGCAAAGCGTTATGGTCTGTGTACAAAGTAGTGTTCATTTACCATCTTATGAAATTTTTCCACCGCATGAAAGAGAGCTTTCTCTAGCTGACTGTAGTGTTTTTCTGCTGTTGTCAACGCGTGGGACTCATGTATCACATTCTTCTGATGTCCCTTTGGGAACTGACGCAACAACACACCACTGATACCGTTTTACAATTCATCAGCAGCGACAAGCATTGATAATGCTCGGTCGTAAAGAGTTTAATGGAGATCGGAGGACAATATCTGTTTAAGGTCCTCATAGGCTTTCTGGGACTACGATGACCCACGCCACACTGAGTTGTTCGCCCAAAGTGCATTTAGTGGGGCCCTGAGTTCGTGCATGTGGGGGACATACTTGTGACAAAAGTCAACTAGATCCAAGAAAGACTGCAAACTAACTTTGTTCGCGGTGTGTGGCATTAACTTGATGGCTTTTATTTTGATTGGGTCTGGCCGTGGACAAAAACTGTCGATAACGGAGCCAAGGTATGTGATACTGGGCTTCATGAGCTTATACTTCTCTGGATGTACACGAAGGCCATATGAATCTATCCTGGAGGATACTTCGTTCAGGTGGGTGTAATGATCTTCAGTAGTGAAGCTCACAATTATTATGTCCTCCAAAAAGCTGTGGCACACTGTAATTCGGATAGCATAGTGTTCAACACTTGTTGAAACATCGCTAAAGCACATTTTATTCAGGAAGGTAATTGATTTTAACGATAGAAACCTCGATGAGTACTAGTAGTAAGTAATTTTTATGTGCGCTGCTCGACCGCTATTTGCTAGTACGCATAAGAAAGATTCATTTTACAATAGATCTTTCCTCCATTAAGCTTTGTAAATAAATCCTCGGGAACTGATAAGCGCTATTGATGCGTTTTCAATGCGTTATTTAATCCCGTAGAACAAGCAGCACAAATACGCAAACTGCCATTAGGCTTTCTGCTGACTACAATGGAAGCGACCTACACTGAGTAGCTCACAGAACTGAGGACGCCCATGGACTCCAGTCGACTAAGTTCGGCATCCACAGCATTAACAGCAGCGTATGGTACTGAGCTTTTGGGAAAAAAAATACTGGACGCACACCAGTACGTGGATACAACATAGCTTTTACCTTAGAACACATTCCAAGACTCTCTGCAAAAAAGTGATAAAGCTTCTGCACTGTCTTTGCACGTTACGGGTGCAACCGAACAGTGAAAATCGGTAGGACACAGAGAAAAACTGTCTGGGTTATCACAAATATTGTTCAAAGGTATGTTCCATGAATTAAGTTTTGCTAGCCAATCTATGCCTAACAAGTTCAAATGTCCATAATGTGTAACGTAACGAACACCATTAGCATGCAAATTGCCAAGTACAAACTTACAATTGCACTGTCTAATGGAGGGTAATTCCGAACCCGACGCGTCGTGAGCGACGTGCGAAGGTTGAACACAAGCGGGTTTACCGAGCTTGCTCCATGTCGACTCAGAGATTATTGTAATAGCGGAAGTCGTAACAACTTGAAGCCGGACAGCAACCCCGTTTACCATAATCGTAACATACTTCCGTAGTGACTGATAGTTCGGGTTAGTAGTTGCAAACACCACATTTGAAAGGCATCGTGGAAAAGGTGGAGTTCTGGCGATGTTTCGTGACAGCCTTCTAGTGGCTCCGTGCAAACATCTCGTTTCCACATGTCCCATATTCCCACGACGCTTGTAAATATATCGTCTGAATTCACAAAATCGAGCGAAATGCCACTGACCACAATGCCAGCACGCACTAGGTGGATGGCCTCGACGTGCGAAGCCGGAGTGGCGTACTGAATTGTGAGCTGGCCTGGGGCGCGTAGGAATAGTATGAACATCCACCACCCAAGAGTCGTTGTGCCGTTGGATCATTTCTGTGTCATGCTCCAAAATCAACATACCTTCGCATTCCTGTACCAACTCCTGTAGTGAGACTCCTGGATTATACTCCAAACTAGATAACAAACGTGTTTGAATCACCGCATCTTTTGGAGAAGGTAACCCATAAACGAAAACGAGCACATTAAACTGATCACTTGTGACTGTGCTAAGCTGAAAACGTTCACATTCGCTGTCAGCAACAGCTGCATGTTATAAAGTCATCCTCCTGATGTTTAACAGCTTGAAAACATCGGAAACGTGCGCTAAAAGTTGGTTTTAGGGTCGAGAATCCTAGTCAAGTGTTTCATGGTGTCGTCCAATAACATGTCGGGTGGGTTCTTGGGTAAATTGTAGTTGGAGCTGTGCCAAGCAACTGTGCTAAGCATTGCTCGTGGATCTCAGTAGCATAGTGTTCAGGGCGTTAGCCATGAAGTACTAAGCTCTGAGTTCCACCCTAGCTCAGACTATCTCCCCCTGACGAGTCTAAACCATGGCGTAACCGCAATCGTGGTGTGCCAGGGTTGGGAAGAGCAACACCCAAATATATCCATGTAGTTGGAGTACTTTTCATATTCATGTGGAGCCAATTTCCTCAAAAAAGGTGCACCTAAGCTGCATCGTCTAGCTCAGGCCCATCAAATTTTACCAAGTCTTCCTAGCGGCGAAACCATGCTTCGAAAGTGGGCTTATCGTCCGGCTGGTAATGAAATTCTACCCTACTGTGCGAGAAACAGTCTTCAGTGGAAACTGTTGAGTCCCGTAGATGCTGACTATAACGCTATTCATGTAGTTAGTGTTTCAAGTAAACGTTGCTGTGACGCTTCAAACTGTGCTTGCTGTCTGGACAGCATTTCTTGAAGAAATTCCAAAGGGACCGTCATGGTTCCCCGTCGCCAGTCTATTATAACGTCTGACTGTAACTGAACCCACTCCGAACGGGAAGCAAGAACACATCGCGCTGGGACGAAGTGTATCGAAAAACTGGCATGCCTGATCAAACACTGTGCACAGAGATCACTAGATCGATCAGGCAACCACATGAGTCATGAGTGGTAGACGGCCTGACTCTGAACGACTGTCATGACAGGACAGTCACAAATGGTAAATGCTCTAGCGCGAGCCCGTCTAACAAGGCCCCCAGGAAATGGTTTCTCTATGTAAAGAACCCCTTGAATCCTTGACTCTGGTCGTTCGTGTTTTGCTCACCGGGGATGTGGATGGAAGAAGAGGAGAGGTGGCTAAGCGATGACTTGGTCCAGAGGAATGAAGGCCCTCACTTCGGAGCTGGCCTCGGTTAGAGTGTCACGGCTCCGTGGTTGGGGTCCAAAAGACGATGAACAAGTTTGGCTGGATACACTTGCTGATATGGTAAGGAGCCGACCTCAGTGGCGTTCCTGCTATGAGTTTCTTCGTCCCTCCCCATTCCCTTTAGCATCCCCTCCACCTACGATCTCATTTCGTAGCGTAAAACATAATTTTTCTTTTTGCCTAATAGATGGCTGGTAGCTTACCGGAACGATGCCTATCCGTTGTTGGTAGCTCAGTTGCCATGCAACTGTTGTATTTATTTTCGGCACAACATCTGAGATGTAACGGTTGTGAAACCTGACCCCTTAAAGCAACGGACCTGAAGAGGCTAGTTACGTTCGACCATCTGTGCCTTCGCAATTTAGCTCACATCTGGTGGGAACACAGCGTGAGCAACGAACGTGTTCGACGCCTTGTTTAGACACAAGAAAAGGAAATGAACCGCTCAGCACCGTCATTTCACGCACCAGGCTCCGATGGCTCGGCCACGTGTTACGCATGCCAGCCCACCGACTCCCGCGACGTGCGTTGTTTGCGCGCCGGGGTGTGGATGGAAGAAGAGGAGGGGTGGCCAAACGATGACTTGGTCCAGAGGAATGAAGGCCCTCACTTCGAGGCTGGCCTCAGTTGGAGCGTCTCGGCTCCCTGGTTGGGGTCCAAAAGACGATGAACACGTTTGGCTGGATACACTTGCTGATATGGCTAGGAGCCGACCTCAGTGGCGTTCGTGCTGTGTGTTTCTTTGTCCCACCCGATCCCTCTTAGCCTCCCCCTCCAACCACGATCTCATTATTTAGCCTTATATAATTTTGCATAGTAATTTTTTTAATGCACAGTAGCTGGCTGGTAGCTTACCGGAACGATGCCCATCCGTTAACGGTAGCTCAGCCGGCTTGCATCAGTTGCTTTTTTTCTCTTCTTTTTTCCATTTATTGCGGCACAGTAGCTGAGTTGTTCCCCACCTCTGGCTAGGGTGTATGATGATGAAGATGATCTGAGGTGTTTTCCACATCTAGCTGACGTGTATACTGATGATATGATGATGATGGTCGTTCGTGTTCTCTCTACCGTTAGTAGGTGGAAACACTTGCTGGGCTCCGACACAACAGCACCTGAATGAAATTTCCTAGATACTCATCAATCACCGAATACATATACACAAGCGCTTTTTAACTTTTAGTCTGCCCGGACTGCAGGGTTCGCCTGGCTATGTGCAAGTGCCCTTTCAGCAGACCGCGTTTGTACGCCACTGAGATGAAACTGGCAAATATAGGTATGTCTCGCCACAGAGCTCTTTGTGATGAACGGTATGCCGGCGATCTCACTCCTGATAGCCACAGGCGAAAAAGTTAAATTGCTGTGTCGCTCGGTCTCAGAGGTAAAGACGAAGCAAGTTCAGGTCCTTCTCAACTCAATCGAAGAATCAACTTGCAATGTAAATAGAGAATTCAAATTATTTCATAACTCACCGACTCCTGTAAACTCTGGCAAATTCAGATCCGCAAAAGCCTGAGCCTTCACATCTGTGAGCGACAAAATCACTCGTAAGCCCGGTTTCCAAGTCGGATCAAGAGAATACAACTGGGTGAGGTTGTATTCGCTGAATTTGTTGGTGTGGGTCAAGTTCTCTCCAGTCATCACAATGTCTGTGCCCGATGTGCATTCGTAATAATCTCCAACACGTGCTTGAAAACGCTCCGTTGAGTCGCTGCTGACGACAAACGTACGCAGTTCTGAAATACAAAGAGAAAAACTAGCGCTTACAATGAATGGTGCTACAATACGCTGGTTCTAACGTTGCTAAAACCCAATAACACGAATTGCATGAATAAAAGAATATCTTGCAAGGGCAACTTGACGGAGATCGTGCAGCTCTTGCGCTCAAATATGGAATTTCCATTTTTAAATCCTTCAGTTGTTCATTAGTTAGTCGAGCTTGGCAGGTTGCTGGCAAACGGTTTGCTATCATGCCAGATGACATCCTCAGGGCAGTAATATGTGGGGTGCAATCTTGCATCAATGAAGGCATTACATTTTAGAACCACAAACGAACGATGGTTGGCTGCGCAGCTCAACCTTACCATACGATCAGCCGTAGATCAAATTGACCGTACTTGGATTGTTCTCCTGGTCACACGCTAACCGCGACGGAACATGCGCATAGCAACCGACTACTATCGCCTAATATAGATAATGCATTTTGATGCATGGACAGCATCTAATCACACTGAGGACCAATTCGAAGCGTGATGAAAGGACACTGGCTCCCATTTTCTCCAACCGAGTCGATAACGATGCATGGGCTGGAGCTTCAGTGATTTAATTGACCCAGTCGTTAAACGCACGTAGAAGTAAGAGTAACCAGATGGAAATCATCAGAAAGGCTAAGCATCTGCGGAACTTACAACTCTGTAAGCGAATGGGGAGCCTTAAAGAAATCCAATTCGGGTGGACAAATAGTTTATGAATGCGTGATCAAGTACATCTAGGCCGGGGAATGCGGATTTCGTCTATCAGCCGATACCCTCAGAAGTAAGTAGAAAAGTGATCTGAAAACCACATTTGTGTGGTGGGCAAGATTCATGTTTGTGGAACACGATAAGGTTTTAGGAACCGTCAATGACATAAACCGCAACCGAGTGGTGCTAGGTGTGCCTGTCTTCTATTTAAGTACAAACAAATATTTGCCATCTACAACTTGCCAAAGTAACCCAAAGCGACAGATCTTTCAGGTTACTAATCTGATCAACATTGACATACCTTACGCATTATTGCATGCACCAAGATTCCTCTCGGCTGTGTCCATACAGAAACAGTAGAACATCAAATCCCAATCTCCCATCCATGTTCTATCAGCAGTCATACCGTTGTCAGTAAAGGTACAAGCAAGAAGCATATGGCTGTTTCACCTATTATCTTGCGGCGATCATGTATCATACTTGCCAAGTGGCCTGCAGTGTGAGGCACCTAGCGGCATCTCAAATCGCCGAAAAATATGCGTCCGCCGCCAACCGAACAACGGAAGCACAAGGTCCTGTAGAGCATATATCAGATGGCTAATGATGCCGTCTGTCCAAGTGTTATCACTTCACCGGATAAGCACTCTGTCGTAGATGTGGCTTCGATTAGTGTGCTCTTAGTCGGAACAACCATTCGAATTTTGTGTACGGTAACCGCGTTGACAACCGACTGATCAGATGCGGATAAACCAGCCTGAGTTACTTAGTTCGGCAAACGGTACTTCCTCACTGTACCGAGACTGACATAGACACCACATGACTAATCGCGACTTCGAGAGAGTAAGGAGACAAGGGCAATCCGCTAAGCGCTTAGTACGCAAACAAGAATGCGAACAGGAAGTTAACAATGCAGGTCGATGGTGCTACAGACGGGTATTTAGACCACGGCGTTTCCCTTTATCTGCAGGACGGCACAGTTGTCACTTGTCACTGGAACGAACGTGGTAATCAGGATGACGTAAGTACCACCCGACAACGGTAGTACTAATGGAATCCCGCGATCGGCGACTTGGTAAAAGTGTCTCTTGGTAGGGATACCGAATCTTAAATACTGCTTGGAAGCAACAAGCAGTATCTCAATTCTAGAGAGCGACCGAGATATTTCATATAAGGGAAAGTTAGAAAAGGGTAGAGGGGCAGGCGTGACACCCATACGCCCAGGGCAGCCGTAGGCTTACGAACAGCTGTTTCTGCACACAGAGTGCGGGGTTGATACGGCTGATCGCGACTGCCTCTGCAAAACGTAGGAAACGGGTGTTAGTATGTCTTAACACGATTGTAAACATTGTGGCCGGATCAAACTGGTGACAGGTGGCCAGTAAATGCCTACCTATGGATGAAGCAGGTGGTTTACGTGAACAGATGGTATGAGCAACCGAGGACTGGGTGATTTGACGCTGCAACCATTTAGGTACATGTTCCCTTATTCTGGAATTCAACGATCGATTGGTACGGCCGATGTAGTGTATACCACAACTACAAGTAAATTGGTAAATGCAATGTGAGTTGGCGCCAATAGGTTGTCTTTCCGTCATTGGGGTAACAGGTATTCGATTAGTCCGGTTGATAAGGACAGTTTCGGCAGCATAATAAGTCCTCTGGACTGCGGAAATTATGCGCTTCGTTGTCCTCATATTGGCGAAATCTCCCTTAAATGGTAGCTCGATGTAGATCTTCTTTTTAGACACTGTCGATACCTTCTGTCCCGGCACCCTCGCCTGACTATGTTTGTCGATGAACCTACTTGGATAGCCATTTTTCAACAGCGTATCCTTGAGCGAGTTTATCTCATCATCTAAACTGTCGGTAGTGCATATTTTCCTTGCACGGTTGAATAGCGTCTTGACTAAGGTCCGCTTGTACCGCATTGGGGAGAAGCTGGTAAAGTGTAGGTACTGCCCTGACCAAGTCGGTTTTCGGTAAACCTCTCTTTTGATGGACCCATCTGCTCTTCGGCAAATCAACACGTCCAGATATGGAAGGCAGTTGCTTTTCTCAGTTTCGTTGGTTACTTTCAGATTCGTATGCACGTTATTCAGGCGATCGACTAGACGCGCAATGTGCTCCTCTGATGAGCTAAACACTAAAATATCATCCACATATCGCTTATAGTAGGAAAGCAGCGATATTTCCACACTCAACTTCTTTTCAATCATCGACATGAAAAAATCTGCTAGTACTGGGCCCAACGGACTACCCATTGCCACCCCATCTATCTGGCGATAAGGAATGTTTTGGAATTGGAAACCGATGTTCTCAGTACATAGTAGTAAGCTGTCCTTTAATAATTCGACTGGCATTGGAAGAGTAAAATCGGAGCACTCTGCCATTTCACACACGTAATCAACTGTTTCATGTAGCGGAACATTGGTGAAAAGCGATTGTACATCCAATGTGGACATGACTTTATCGGATAGGTTAAACTCATCTAAAGCCTCTGTAAGTTCGAAAGAGTCCTTCAGACGGTGTGGGATGGTCTGCTGCTTTAACGGCGAAAGAACTTCTACCAGCCAACGAGCCAACTTATGTTGTGCCGAGTTTGCCATTGACAAGATTGGTCTAAGCGGTATACCACATTTATGGGTCTTTGGCAAACCGTATAGCTGAGGTATGTTGGACCCTCCCGGTTTTAGGTTGTTATATACCTCATCATCAATTACACGGTGTAAGAGGAGCAACTTTAGGTGTTCCGTGATGCGTCTTTCCACTTCACTAACATCCTCTGTTCTTGTAAGGAGTTTAAATTTGCTAGCATCACTCAGTAAATCTTGCATTTTCCGTGTGTATTCTTCCTTGCACATAATGACGGCTCCTGAGCCTTTGTCTGGCTTAAGTACAATCACCCCCTTCGTTCTCAGCTCTCGTAGTGCACAAAGGTGACGCCTTGTTAGCAAACACTTCTCACGCACTGGCGTCATTGTGACTTCATGGGCAATATCAGTTAGTTTGTTTCTAAACCAGTTTGACATATCTGGACTAGACGCCTGTAATCCTGCTAACTGGTCATAAAAATTTTCAAACTGTGCCTCTATGAACAAGCGGTTTAGCTTACCAGGTGGGACTTTGTAATCCATTCCGAGCGATAATGCTTCCAGTTGTAAGGCATCAAGGGGAACATTTGACAGGTTTAAAACGTACGTATTGGGGTCACGATATGCAGGCTCCTCCCGTTTATCAACTAGTGAATTCTGCCACCGGACTTTGCATTTCTCCTTTGTACGATCAATAGTAAATTTGCAGAAGTTGGTAAACACAATCCTGCAGCACAACGATAAGCTATCCAGTATTGGCATTAGGCGGGAATGCGTCTCGAGTAGCGCAGTGAGTCGAGTCTGAGCAGTCTCCAATTGAGCAGAGGCAATGCGCCGGAGATTTCCATTGGACGGCTTTAGCTTATTTTTACGCAACACCTTCCAAATCGAACGTGGATATTGAAGTACGGTGATACAGTTTGAGAGAACAGATATTTCCGAACGACAGCAAACAAGTTTGCACTTCAGACTAACAATACGGCGTAACTGCCTGACGAAATCAACGGGAATTCGTCTTTTGAGAAATTTGAAACAATTAGATCCCTTTAGTAATTTGAATAATGCCGTAAGCCTACGGCTGCCCTGGGCGTAGGGGTGTCACGCCTGCCCCTCTACCCTGTTCTAACTTGTTCCGGTCTCACCCTATCTGCCGTCTTATATATTTTCATGTTATTGTGTTGGCACTGAAGAGACAATACGAAATGTTGACATCTGCCAGTGTTCGTCTTCTTACGGCATTATTCAAATTACTAAAGGGATCTAATTGTTTCAAATTTCTCAAAAGACGAATTCCCGTTGATTTCGTCAGGCAGTTACGCCGTATTGTTAGTCTGAAGTGTAAACTTGTTTGCTGTCGTTCGGAAATATCTGTTCTCTCAAACTGTATCACCGTACTTCAATATCCACGTTCGATTTGGAAGGTGTTGCGTAAAAATAAGCTAAAGCCGTCCAATGGAAATCTCCGGCGCATTGCCTCTGCTCAATTGGAGACTGCTCAGACTCGACTCACTGCGCTACTCGAGACGCATTCCCGCCTAATGCCAATACTGGATAGCTTATCGTTGTGCTGCAGGATTGTGTTTACCAACTTCTGCAAATTTACTATTGATCGTACAAAGGAGAAATGCAAAGTCCGGTGGCAGAATTCACTAGTTGATAAACGGGAGGAGCCTGCATATCGTG